GTACGTAATCTTAATTCTTTTTTTTTTTTTGTCTATCAACTGTCAATGACACTTAACCCCTTTGTTATTTTTCTTTTTATACTGATGGTAGTAGTGCACTAAATACTTTTTAATAAATTAATTAATGCACCAAAGAACACAGATAATGTCCCATAACTATCACAATTTTTCTGACTTTCTAACTATACAACAAGAGCTGTTACAAATTTATCCAAGCTAGTTGATGTGTTTCCCATGGGAACGACATTTGTACTGAAAGAGAAATTGACAATTCTCTGTACGGAAAACAATGTAATATAATGAGTCATTTTGTATGTGAAAACAAGGGGTAACAGAAGCTAGGCAGTATTCTATGAAACATGCCTGAGGTCAATGTTTTTCTTCAAAAACTTTCTTTTTATCACCTATTTAGCACTTGATTAACCCTTTAACCACTGGTATACTCTTTAAATTCCTTTGTGTGTATGTCACAAAAAATGTTGCAGAGTTACATTTAAAATTTAATTAACCCTATAATTACTTGCAACAAAGATTGTTAGTAGGTAACGTAATTCTCATCATATTTCATTCCCAAAAATAAAACTAGTCGATGAAATTCTTTGAAATTTGACAAGAACCTTCCTAAAAGTATGTAGTTTCAAAAAAAAAAACATTTAATTTTGATTTTTTCTACCATTTCTAATAAAAATTTGTTATTTAATGTAGTTACTTGCACTCAGTTCATCTGAAAGGTGATTTTCATGTTGAGTTTAAAAATACTATTTATTATCCTACAGTTTCACATTTCTTTGGCATAATTTCTAGAACCTTTTAAATGAATATCAAATGATTTGTTTTTAAGGTAAATGTTTATTTTACATTTTCTCTATCATATCAAATGTTTAAAATTAAGAAATGGAAATATTTACTAACTTTTGTAGAATAGTCTTAAAATATCTTCTTTGGGTCATATGCATGATTTCACATCTTTACATTTTTACTAATAGCTTAATTTTAATGTTTTATTTTCCTTTTATTTTTGTTTACACAGGCTTGCGAATTTAAACTTCATAAAAGTTGTTTTGGTTTTAATAATGGATTTCCATAATTCAGCTACGCAGATTTCAAAAATATTTTTTTTTCTATCACTTAAGGATTTTTAAACAATTGGGAAGAAAATAAAACTCTTACTTAGATCAAATTATTATTTTGTTTACCACAATGAACATTTGTTATTATTATATTCTTCAACAAAAATACAAACAAACTAATGAAAAAGGAAGGACACTTATGTCAAACGAATATGTATCCTCATTCATACTGATTTTTTGTGAAATCTATGTCTTTTAGTCTCAAAACTATGTATTGTGGTCTTTCTTTTATGTATTGGGTATCATTTCAATGACCAGCAGTAATCAGTCATTACGCTGATGTTCCACCTTTCAATACCTCCTCTCCATTTCCCTGATAACTTGATAACATTTTTCTCTTTGTCCTTTGCTAACAGCATCAAGATTTTCAAGGAAATAGTCAATATGTTAGTGCAAGAAATGAACTTTCAAGCTCATATTACAATCCAACTCTTTGAATTTATCAAGCATGTTATTGACAATATTTTTGTAATTTGGGTCCCTGCCGTTTCCTAAAAATTTGTCAATAACATCTTAACTCTCTCATCATGGGTTCGGTCAATGTGACCAACCACGTGACCTCTTTTTACTCGTTTGAAAGTCTTTATAGATTTAATACTTCTAGCTTTCAATATAGTGTGTATATCTTCACAAAATTTGGCAGCCTATTGAGATCAGATTTAGAATCAGATGAAACTGTATCAAGAGTCTCCAGTGGGGTAGGTACAGGTACATCAGATTCACGAGCAACAGGCCATAAAGTACATTGAAGGTTTGGATAAGAAATTTCCTTTTTATTTCGAGTGTTGTAGCCTTGCACGTAACATGAGCAAAAATAGCAGTCATCTCCAT